TGTGGGATCGCACAACGTTACACGATGTGCGGTGTGCGCACGATGTGTGCACGGTGTGTGAACGGTGTGTGCACGATGGGCGAACGATAAAAAGCTGAACGATCATTGCTTGCGCACATATGTGCGCACGATGGACGGACGTTGTGCGATAACAATCGTGGTTGGTGTAAATTGAGGAATGCCTTAACAATTTATACGGTTTCTTGTTAAACATATAAACTTGATGTTTACGTATGTTTCTATATTCTAGCAACATCTATAAACTTATCTTTCTGTCTATAAATTCTTATATTTAGGAATTGTGTTTTCTGTGTTTTTAAACAAACTTAATCGACACATGTAAAATTACAACACAACCCCGTATACAGGTAAACATAACCATTGTGTACATGTACCTGGACCGTAGTTTTCTCCCCGCCTGGGGCATTTACGTAACTCGTCGGGTAAGGCCGGGGGTGTGAAAATCCAGGTGAAGGGGAGCTATATATAGGTAAACGAATGCAAATAACAAATCCTTTTTATTACGGTCAAACGGTATCGCATATCAGCTCTGTGTGTCAGGCACTGGTCAGGTAAAACTCCGGACACTCATAAAATTGTTATTTACCTGTTCTGTTACCTTGGAGCCAAACCCTTTCTTGACAGCCTAACGGTCACTGTAATACTGTGTAATACGCATTGTGAAATTGTATAATCTTGATTATTGGGATGAGAAATTACAGATATATACACAGTGTACATTATCGCATACAAGCCTTCCGTATTTTTGTCATTCCGTAATTTTGATCTACAAACGATACCAAATCGCACAGTTGTGCGGAGAGAAGCGCACAACGGGGCGAACGATTGCTAAATCGCACAGTTGTGCGCACCATGTGTGGACGATGTGCGGACGGTGTGTGAACGATGTATGCACGGTGTGCGCACGCCATTTTTGGTGCGTTGTGCGGTCCCACAACTGTAGATATCAGACACCATTAGTCCGGATATAGAACCGGATACAAATAGTCTGGATATAGAAAACAGACACCAATAGTCCGGATATAGAAACCAGACACCAATAGTCCGGACATAGAAATCAGACACCAATACTCCGGACATAGAACCGGACACCAATAGTCTGGATATAGAAAACAGACACCATTAGTCCGGACATAGAAAACAGACGAAAATAAGTTCGGACATAGAAAACAGACGAAAATAAGTCCGGACATAGTAAACAGACGAAAACAAGCCCGGACATAGAAAACAGGTACCAATAGTCCGGACATATAAATCGGACACCAATAGTCGGGACATAGATATCAGACACCAATACTCCGGATATAGAACCGGACACCAATAGTCTGGATATAGAAATCAGAGACCATTAGTCCGGACATAGAAACCAGACACCAATACTCCGGACATATACCCGGACACCAATAGTCTGGATATAGAAAACAGGTACCAATACTCCGGATATAGAAAACCGGACATCAACAGTCCGGACATAGTAATCGAACATCAAAAGCCCGGGCTTAGTAAGCGGGCATTGGAAGTCCAGTCGACTCTACAGAATACTTATTGTAATTTTATCATTTGTGAGTACAAAAAGTAAACGAAATTATGGTCTACTACTCAATATAAGGATGGGGCGGGACCCATGGTGCAATGTATATTTCTTATCATTTCTACTGGAATAATTGTTTATGATAACTTACAGGCAAAAATCTCGAAAACTGACATGTAGCTTTACAGTAAGTTTTGATTAAATGAACGACAGCATTTTTTCTCTCTCAAATACATACATAGTATGTTCATGTATAAAGCTTCTTTTTAATCAATCCAATATATTTTTATCAATCGTCTGCAGTATGTGGCTTTTTATTATTTTATATGACATGACCCACAGTAGCCATGTTACGAACAGTGGCTATGGCCGTAACACTATCGTCATAGTCGTCTCATAAAAAAAAGGTAAACCCAAATCGAAACTTGGTTTAATAATCAAATTAAAGAAAGAGGTTCTTATGAATCGTTCACTACGCTCACAGGATAACACAGGATAACATTTTAATGTTTATAATTGAAAAAATGCCTAGATGATACATTGAAGCTCAGAATTTATTATCAAAGCCAAACATTAAACTTACCATGTTAAAAAAATCCAAGGATAAAAAGTCCGATCCCAAAAATAACCAGGTGTGAAAGTCACCGCATTCTTCACAGGTATGGCCAGGTATTTCCCGTCACCTCCACTCCGTTAGGTGAGGCTGTCCATTTAGGTGCCCAGGCTCAAATCACTCAACCACGGTTGCTGCAGATTTGAGAGATGGCTTTGGGATGAGACACATATAGTATTTACCTGTAATATACTTGTACAGGCAGGGGAAATATTACCTTAGATACTTAATTAATTATTTTGCCGGACCGAGACATATTTAACATGAAACGACAGTAGTTCTTGCGCATCTCGGTGTATGATCTGTAGTGTTGTTTAGGTACTTCAAGAATATCCTATTTGCGATCCGACCTGTCCCCCACACGCGATAAAGACACTTTATGATGGCTAGAGAGGTCATACGTATATACGTATATACACACACCTCATCATAAACACTGACCAATCAAATTACAGATTTATCACCAGGTGCTAATCTGATGAGTTGCTCAGAGGGCGTTCACTTATATATGAATGGGGAAAAAACGGTAAGTAGGAACAGACACTTCCTAGATTTATAGATAGTATGTTAGAATTATTTTTTTCTGAAAAAAAAGAATCTCATATAACAATAGTCGGTGTAGAAAAATGTCACTACATATTGATATATATGTGTGTACATTTCATGTAATAGGTCTTTTTTTTTAACAAAGACAGTGATAAAGTGTTACAATATATTTATGAGTATAAATTTATATTGTTCATAATTTTGCTTCTAATTGTGAAATTATAACAGACAAAATACAATGGTTATGATAATACGGTATTCTTTACCTCAGCTATCAGACTGACATCTACACCCGTACTTTTTACTAGTATTATGGAGGTAGTTACACGAAAAGTATAGGGCACCGATTATCTTTTAACGAAAAAAATATTGGTTATTGATAAATAACGACAGGTCGTTGACTGGTCATGCCATTCATAGCAGCTATGAATGCCATGACTCGATTGTTGTCGTCATCATTAATATGACGTCATAATAATAATGATGGCTAGCATAAATGATTACAAATACCATCAGTCTGCATTCATATTGCCTATGAATGCCAACTGAAAGCAGTTCAATGCTTAATTTTAACGGGTTCACTTTGAGGTTAAACGTAATCGCAACATTAAGAGTAATATGAAGACGGGTATCTAGGGAGAAAACAGAAAAAAAATGTGTATGAGAAAAAGAAAGAAGACAGAAATCCAAAGAGATGCATTGGGGCAGCAGACAATTTTGTTGCTGTTTTCCGTCATAGTGGAATACACAAACGAAAACCGCTGATTCTGCAGGGGCCAACAATAGCCGCCCCTTCAAATAACAAGCAGTGGTTAACAGACAAGTCTATTATTTTCCAAACATGCAAGAGGGGACAAATCATCTAGTATACTGATACTGATCACATTTGTACATAACTAGAGCGCTGATCGTTAACTTTTAGTTATTACTGCTTAACTAGTGCGCTGATTGTTAACTATTATTTATTACTGGTTAACTAGTACGCTGACCGTTAACTATTATTTATTACTGATTAACTAGTGCGCTGGTCGTTAACTATTATTTATAACTGGTTAACTAGTGCGCTGGTCGTTAACTATTATTTATTACAAGTTAACTAGTGCGCTGGTCGTTAACTATTATTTATTACTGGTTTACTAGTGCGCTCACCGTAAACTATTATTTATTACTGGGTAACTAGTGCGCTGACCGTTAACTATTATTTATTACTGGTTAACTAGTGCACTGGTCGTTAATTATGATTTATTACTGGTTAACTAGTGCGCTGATCGGTAACTGTTATTTATTACTGGTTAACTAGTACGCTGGTCGTTAACTATTGTTTATTTCTGGTTAACTGTGCGCTGATCGTAAACTTTGATTTATTACTGGTTAACTAGTGCGCTGATCGTTAACTATTATTTACTACAAGTTAACTAGTGCGCTGGTCGTTAACTATTAATTATTACTGGTTAACTAGTGCGCTCACCGTAAACTATTATTTATTACTGGGTAACTAGTGCGCTGACCGTTAACTATTATTTATTACTGGTTAACTAGTGCACTGGTCGTTAATTATGATTTATTACTGGTTAACTAGTGCGCTGATCGGTAACTGTTATTTATTACTGGTTAACTAGTACGCTGGTCGTTAACTATTGTTTATTTCTGGTTAACTGTGCGCTGATCGTAAACTTTGATTTATTTCTGGTAAACTAGTGCGCTGATCGTTAACCTTTATTTATTCCTTGAAAACTAGTGCGCTGATCATTGACTATAATGTATTACTAGTAAACTAGTACGCTGGTAGTTAACGATTCGTACATGTATATAACTTGTTTGATAGTGCTTTTCCATTTCCTTTAAAGCTAGTTAACTAGTACTGTACGCTGGTCGTTAACTATTGTTTATTTCTGGTTAACTGTGCGCTGATCGTAAACTTTGATTTATTTCTGGTAAACTAGTGCGCTGATCGTTGACTATAATTTATTACTAATAAACTAGTACGCTGGTAGTTAACGATTCGTACATGTATATAACTTGTTTGATAGTGTTCTAGATGTAACCGTATCCTTCATAACTTCCTTGTCAGTGTTGTTCCTTTCCCTTTATATCTAATAAACTAGTACGCCAGTAGCTCTGTGGAAAGAATTGTCTTACGTGGTGACTAATGTGGGGCCCTTGCATAATCGTTGTTTTTCTTGTGTGTACCCTCCGAGGTTAACTTGGAAGAGATCGGGTTGATCCTCTGCCCCATTGCAACGCTTTGTTTCTGTATGTGTTCTTCTCTCACTTTCTATCTCTTTCTATTCGTGTGACCTCTGCTGTTGCGGTGACGTTAAACCAAAAACAAACTCTGGTAGTTGCATATTAATATTCTGACATTTTTATATAACTAGTTAACTCGTATGCTGGAATTAAACTATTCCTATAGTAAACAAGTACACTGCTAGTTAACGATTCGCAATAACTAGTTACCTACATGTAGTATGTCATTGGTCATTAACAGCTCCTATTTGACGACTAAACTAGTACGCTAATCGTTTACGATTTCTATACATGTAGCCAGTTATCAAGAACGCAGGTCCTTTATAACTAGATAACTAGCACTGTTCGTTTGTAGGCTATACTAAAGGTACGAACGTTTATATGTTTCTTTATTTTTGGCTATCGTCTATCAGTTATTATGTATTTCATACCAACTTTTTATGCAATTTATTTCTTGATACTCACTTCTTAGTTTCAACTTTATGTACCTTCGGCTAAACTTTCTCGTGAAGAAAAAAAACAGCTCCGAACGTGTTTGTCTATATGGACCAATTCTTTCCTACAGTGATTATATACCGAGAGATTATATAACGAAATAATTATATATATCTATATAAATACGTCATGTCTTTTTTCCCCTGAACGTTTTACGTAAAACACGCGGTCTAGGTGCACGGCCATACACAGTCAACACCGGTACCTTGACCTGTCAGCTCTTATGGAATTACACTGACCTAGAACTGTCGGACCTGACCAGACTGGACACTTCCTCAGGTGGCTTTGACTGACGTTGGACTTGATTTGGTGTCAGAAAAGATAAAATATGTCTGTTAAATAGAACACAATCAACACGTATGTACCGAGGGAAAGAGGAAATGAGCAAAACTATAGACCGCAGAACGTATTGTATTGCATTAACCTTACGCACTATAAATAACATAGAGAAAACCGACCCCATTCCTTAGACGTATGACTAATTATGCTCAAAAGTATTGTACGATGAGATCCCTATAACGATTTGTTACTGATATATTGCTTTGAACCAGTTTCAGTATATGTACCTTAGTTTTGTCATAAAAACATCAGACCACAATGCCTGTGTGTCAACGCTTTGCTTTCACTGATTACATGGGTTACCGGTTCCGGTGATGCAACGAGGTTGATTCAAATTTGTGTTTGATTTTCGGATAGTTAATATCTGGACTGGACAATACGATATCATTATCAATGCTTAACGGCCTATCAACACAGGATAGGTCATTAGGGCCAACAAATGTTCGACAAAAACAAATGCTAAATAAAAACGTCAAACCAAACTGAAAGGTAAAAGACAAACGTCAAATTGAATATTGAAATTGGGTATGGTGACTCAAATTTTATTAAAAAGACCAGCAGCGTTCAGATAGCCTAAAATTGAAGAGACAGTTATGTTTCCAAAAAAAGATTTAAGACATGTAATGCTATTATCGAAATTTTCTCGAGTTGACTTGAAGGCCGATACAATCTAGTAACAAGTACTATACAGTAAATGGTTCATGACACGCTATGCATTGAGGCCAGAGGTTTTAATAAATAACAATGGGTAATGTATGAAGGACCCATCCGGGGCATAGGTGGTGGGCACGTCTATCAAAAATAAATAAATATATAAAACTAGAAAGGTGAGGAACTCAGCCCCTACCAGCGGCTGGCAAAATTGAGGTAATTTTGTTTGAAGTGTCACAGAAATTTTATCCGCTAAAATCCTTCCCACAGCGTAGTCTCGATCGAAAGTAGGGACATTAATCTTTAAATAACACCCATTATATATCTTCAAAACAGTGTAGTTATTTCGTAAGCAGTTTCGAAGCTCGCGAAAATCACCGATTTGTGTTACCTCGGACACGATCCGGAACATTTTTTCGAAACAAATTCTTCATTCGGTACACAGAATAGCGGACGACGTAACATTAATAAACCATTGTATACTCAAAGATAAGGTCAAAACAAACTTGCTTACTTGTTTTACGCACCACTAAATTTCTCCTCTCGTGTCCCTCAAGTATTTTCTCCGCAAGATTTCACATTCAGCCCTCCTTCGTCCACCATCTTGGAGAATTTTATAATATGTAACACGCAAGCTGATTGGTCTAACGGCCGGTTAAAAATAGACGAAAATAGCTCGACCAATCAGCTTGCATATTATAAAATTCTCCAAGATGGTGGACGAAGGAGGGCTGATGTGAAATCTTGCGGAGAAAATACTTGAGGGACACGAGAGGAGAAATTTAGTGGTGCGTAAAACAAGTAAGCAAGTTTGTTTTGACCTTATCTTTGAGTATACAATGGTTTATTAATGTTACGTCGTCCGCTATTCTGTGTACCGAATGAAGAATTTGTTTCGAAAAAATGTTCCGGATCGTGTCCGAGGTAACACAAATCGGTGATTTTCGCGAGCTTCGAAACTGCTTACGAAATAACTACACTGTTTTGAAGATATATAATGGGTGTTATTTAAAGATTAATGTCCCTACTTTCGATCGAGACTACGCTGTGGGAAGGATTTTAGCGGATACAATTT